AAATTAAAAGACTAAACACTAATTTTATTTGTTATTTTTATAATTATGTATATACATATATTTTTAACATATTTTTTTGGAGGCCCTCACGAAAGTGGGGTCGTGGTGAAAACTCATGGTGCTATTCTTTCTCTTGGAATCACTTCACATAAAAGTGGTGTATTAGATGAGAGATGAGAAGAAAAGAAACAAACTCCGACTATACAATCTAAATAAACGGTACATATTAAATTTAAGTAAAATAATTTTCATTGTGTATATATAATTATATAATTTAAATTAACTTTTTATATTTTTGTTTAATATTATTTTCATTTTTTTCTCTCCACATAATAAGAGGGAGAGAGATAGAGAGACTTTTAAAATAATAGTTAATTTTTTTTAAAAAAATGTGATACCACTGTTATTAAAATTGATTAGTATTTAATGTAGAGGATCATTCTCAGTTAATATAAATTTAGCTTAGATGGTTTCACCTATGGTTTCACCTATGGTTTTCAAACAAATTTTTCAAATATTTTATAAAATATTTAGACTATATTTAATAAAATGAGCTAAAAATTAGAAGTTTGTAACTTACGACTACGAAGCTAATAAAAAAGTTATAGATTTGTAGCTAAAAGCTTGTAAATCTGTAAATAGTTTATAAAATTTGATTATTTAATAACCTAGTTTTGTAATTAATTAATTTATGTTAAATTACATAAAAATATTTATATAATATTAAAATTAGATATAATTTATTTTAATATATTTTATTAATAAAAATAATATTATTAATTCAAATAAACTTGAATTTGTTTTTAAAAATATTATTTTAACATATTATATCAATAAAAATTATATAAATTAATTTAAATAATTTATTTTTATAATTTATTTCTTAATTTTCAAAATATTATCTATTTATTTAATTTATTTTTATCTAAAAAAATATACTATTAATTATTAGTAATAAAAATATGAAAAAATAAAAAACAAAACAAAAAAAACTGTCATAAAAATAAAGATAATAAATTAATAACAAAAATAATAATATAATATATTAGATTTTAATTTTATTAATAATAAATTGTCTATTTTAAAAAAATAAAATATAAAAGTATAATAAAATTATTAATAACTAGCGTCTAAAATTAAATAGTTCTTAAAAAATTAACTTTTAAAAGTTATGAACTTTTTTAATATATATTTATCAAAAAACTCTACTAATTTATTAAATTTTAAATAAACTATAAGTTTCTAACCTTATTTCTAATAACATCAATTGTCACTTATTAATATTATGTGTCTATGTTTCAATTGAACTTAGGTCGAGTTGATGATCGGACCAAATTTGATAACATGCATGATAAGTCGTAATTATAGTGTAACAAATTTACATAATAATAACTTCAAAGCATCAAGAAAATTTGAATTGCAGAAGATAGGGGGATGTATTTATTTCAAAAAAACTTTTGTTTTTAGTTTATAATAACGATGGTAAAAATATTATCTTTTTATTTTTATATTTTATTTTATGTATTTGTATAAAAAGTATAAAAATAATATTGAAATAGTTTGGTTATTTTCCATATAAATACTTTAAAAAATAAAAATAAGGTAATATATTCATAATTATTAATTAAAATAATAATAATAATAATAATAATAATAATAATAATAATAGTAGTAGTAGTATGATGATGGTGATAATATTCATGTAGAAACAAATAAAATATGTTCTCTTGTGGGATTTATTAGCCAGCATACCCACAACTTGTTTTCATCTACATTTCTTTTTTTTTCTTTTTCCTCATATATAAATTCTAACGTAGATTAATTATTGAATTGATAGAGACACTAATTTATAATTGAACTTTCATTAAATCAATGATATGTGTCTATCATATATTAAATAATAAACTAACATCAATTCATAAGTGATCATGTATGGAAGAGTGTAAATGGTCAGTTTATTCTTGAAAATTGTGCTGATTATTTTAGTTTTAATTTTATAAAGCATCATTTATTTTAAATTTTTTATAACATAATAGTGAAAAACAAGATGTTTTCAATAAATTAGCGAGTAAAATACGGATTTTATAAGTTAAAAAGTAAAATAATTGACATCGGTAGATTCAAGAAATAAAATAAGAGTTTACTCAAACTTTTAAATGAATGTAAATATTATATTATACATATTGTAAGATAAAAAATACTAATAAGTTAAATAATAATCATCCACCAAATGTTACAATTGAGAAAAACAGAGAAATTAACAACAGCAATTTTGCTTATTGCTTCAAAGGCAAGTGAGTGAAACATTCAATATATATAATAAGAGTATCGCACAAATATTGTTGTGAATGAACCATTCATTGTCAAAGGGTAGTCATCTAGAGTCTTGTTTATATGTATATCTCATAGGTAAATCTTTATGTTTTGACATCAAACCTTCATTTAATTTAAAGATAGTTTGGTCCAGTTTTAAAAAATAAGAAAAGAAATAGCTTTCAAACAATCCATCACCAGTTTTCCTTTGTTTTAGACAATTAAACAACTTTTCTACGATTCTTTGCTGCATTGGTTTTATAAAGTTCAATGGAGTGAATACAAGAACAGTATTGTGCAATTTTATGAATGGTAAATTATGTTCCATCACAACGTCTTCGTTTCACGGTTGGAAGGACTTAGAATATGTGTTACTTTTCCTTAATAGGTCCAAGAAAATGAAAAAAGGAAAAAAGTAAGAAGCGTGTGGACATGGCTTGATTGAAAGCTGTGCACAGCTTTGTCAAATGTGACTTACAGCAATACATATATTATAACAATAGCTGCTTGTAGAAAGGAAATTCGGTGCATCTACGTGACAATTTTACAATAGGGGGGATGTATGTCTCGTACGTTATAAACATGGAGAGGGTTAAACTAGCCTCTGCAAACTGTTGACTAGCTCTGCTTAACCATTGATTTATTCTAAATTTGTCTACCCAATAATTGGATTATACCACTTATCTGAGAGAATTTTTAAGAAATAAGTGTTTATTTTTTTCTTAAAAATTCAGCCATACCCAACATGGCAGTAGCATTTGACCCATTTACCTCGTTAATTGGAATCAGAATTAGAAGTCCATCTTGGAATTGGGCCAATACTTTCTCAGTAATTAGTTTACAACTTAAGCAAATTGTTCATAGAACAACAATATTAATATTAAATTTGTGGGCTAAGTCTATGATGGACCTAAAGGGGTTGCCCTCCCTCAAAAGTTGAATTAACTAGTCACTATTCTTTCCCCCCTTTTTTTACATTTTGGCAATTTTATTTTGTTTATTTTCATTGTTATTTTATAAAAGTAATTATCAGTTAATATTTTTTTATAATTTTTCTCAATAATTATTGTTTGCTTGGTAGAGGATTTATAAATAAATAAAATAATTAATATACTAGATGAAGGGTATAATAGAAAGTCAAGTAATAAAAAAAGAAAAGGAAAAAGAGGTAGTAGTCAGTAATTGAGGAAACGTGTATTTTATGATAAATGAGAGTTTTTCAACTTGACCAAATGGAGTCAGTTCATTGTATTATCTAAAGCATACCACATTCATAACGTAGCGTAATCACTTTCTTAACTGCCAGTGAAGCTCATGCTATCGAATCATCATTCAAGATTCTTATAAAGTAAAACTTGTAAGCATGTCTCGTCTGACTGAGTTTCTTGTGTAAGCAAGGTATCACCAATATCACAACCTTATTGGGTCACTGAGACAACAATATTGCATAAGTATCTTTGCTTAGAGTTTCCTTATTATTTGCAGTTCGAAAACTTTTGTCAGCTGAGCCATAGAAGGCGGAAAAAGCAAGTTAACTTCTGCTAACTAATAAATTTGGCAATTTATTGTTGTCCTATTTTATAGATTAAGTGCATGTTTGGAAATTATTATTTTTGAAGAAATAATCGTGTATATTTCAAAAACAGTTTCTTCAAAATAAATTCAATTAAATATACACACCAAGTCTTGTGGTTGCTAAAGAAACCCTTCAGAATTTAAGGTAAAAAATGCGGAACTGATGAAAGTGGATCACAATAATTTGTTGAAAATATGCAAAGGTAGCCTAAAATAAATAGGAAACCAGTAAGGAAGCGATGCATTAACTAAAATGTAGAGGAAAAACTGTAAATGAAGATATATACATACATATATATAAATGATAAAAGGTAAAAGGTTAAATGACCGAAACAGAGAGGCTCTTGTTTTGTGATGGTGACCTTTCTCCAGTGCCTGTTATTCATAGATGTAAATCTACATGTGCCTGTCATTCATAGATGTAAATCTACATGACTACTGCTTTAGCCCTTCAACACACCTCAATGGTCATCTTCCTTGTTTATAAATGAATGGTTTGTGGGATCCTCAATCAATTGTTCACTAAGTGCTTCACATTAAAAAACCTATAAAATGCTATCAAGGTAATTTAATTGAAGAACAACACCAAAAATATATAAGGTACTACATAAGTTGTCCACTAGAAAATGGTAAGAATTTCACATTCCCAGGAGAGATGACAGCTTTTGTAAGTATGCAATGAACTCATTCACATTCCATGCGAAATCTTGTTCAGATCTAAAAGTTTTAACTTCTCTTAAAAAACTTCCACCAATGAAAGAATAGGTTTCTTTAAAGCAGACAAATAATAGAACTGTTAACTCTCATAAGTCAACCTTGGTTTTTGTGAAGTCAGGCTAGAGGGTGTGCCACTGTGACACTGAATCTATACACATGCTTGGTTGATTACAATATTTTCTACTTCTGAAAAATGATAAAATAGTGCCTGATTCTGCACCTTTTGTTTCAAGTTTGAATTGATAATTCAATGCTACAGCATACACACCAGCATCACTACTTCTGAAATTTCAGGCATTTTAATGTAATACTTATTAGTACAATGATTTCCTTGTCTTACCATTATCCTTAAAACTGTTGACATGTTCAATATTGTAAAAAGATATGAACACGAACAATAAAAGGAGCAATTTCCTATTCCATTTGAAACATTAAAAAAGATCTCATAAAACATATCTTAAGTATGCAAAATTCTGTACAATATGCCTAATTGCCCTGACAGCTTTAGAACATAATTTGCAACTCAAAGGAGAAACATCAGTACTTTCAAAATCAATTTGTTTCTAAAAGTCAACTTCAAGATGATTGGTAGCTTCAAAGATACCTAGTATCAATGTATGACTACTACTCTTTAGTCTTTAATTAATCTAGAGGTTTGGAAAGATTTCGCTGTCTCTACAATTTCCATTCGAATGCTTTTCTTCAACTAAAGCTGCAGTTTCATGATCTGAACTATGACGATGCGGCAGTGTTTTGCTTTTGCCTCTTGTACGAGCCCTGCGGCAAGGGATGAAAGCATCTTCGTGTGGTAGGGTATCTTTCCTTTTCTGTCTCCTTTGAACATGCAAGAATTCATTTGCTAGAGATTCCATCGCTCTAACTGTCAATGGTCGATTTCTTGCACTCTGTCTTCTAGGATTTATATTAGGCTGCTGTTCCTCAGAATCAACATTGCAAGAGATTCTTAGTGGCTTCTCAACTACCTCCCGAGTATCAGTTGACAAACATGGAACATTTGCCTTTAGGCACAGCCCATCTTCCTCTACCATCGGCATCATTTCACCATTTTCAGATTTCAATGAAACATGAGGTTTGCTGAAGGTGATCGAGGACTTAGATTCACATTTCTCAACTTCAACAAAAGAAATGCTCTTGCATTGACCAAGTTCATTGAGAATGCATTCATCATTCTCTGCCACACTTCTGTCGACTGGAGAAGAAATTAACCTTCCATTCTGCTGATAACTAACTGGATCACCAATATTTTTGTGGGAATATGGAAAGCTCAGTGACTGAGAGAGTGCCAATTTTTCTGATCCCAAGCCTTCTAAGGAATTCTCAACAACACGGCTTGTCTCTGCCTTGGCACAAGCAGTCAATCTCCTCCTTTTAATGGGAAGAACTGCTTGGTTAGAATGACCTGATCTTGCTCTCCGACTGAATTGATGATTAATGGTCCTCTTCAGGTGATTATCAACAGACACACAGGTCTTCTGATTTTTCTGGTTTTCTACCATCTTGTTTGCATTATTATCTGAGTTATCATATGCTTTTTGGTCGGTAGCATCACTGTCAAATATACCATTTTGGTTATCAGTATTACTAATACTCTTCTTGTCACATGTCAGCATTTTACCTTGCACCACAATTGGTGAATCTTCATTAGCAGAACTATCCTTACTTTCTCTTGAAAGACCAGTCATCTTAGAAGCATATTCCAATTCAACGGGCAGATATCTCAGTTTTCTCACTTTTAGTAATTTTCCTTTACAAAGCATGCTGGTATCAATAACTGTAAACTTCATCAACTTTTGACCAACGCTTTCAGACATATTCTTAGCATGGTTTCCTTTCCTCATATGTTTGGCCCCTTTACATGTTATACTAGCAGAATTTACCTTGCCTTTACCAACTGAATTAACAGGTACAGATTTAAATTCCATTAAACCAGATGACTTCCCTCCATGCACCGAACTGGTATCAATAACCATGAATTTTATATGATCTGTTATAGAAGCTCGGGGCTTGAGGTAACATTGATGATGATAATCAGATTGATCATCCATATTCAATCCCTTTTCTGGCTCTTCATCAGTGCAGCCACCAACTTTAGCTTCTTCATCAAGCTCTAGAAGATTGGGTTCAGCTACCACTTTGTTCAAGATATCACTAACAGAGTCAAAGTAATGATCACCTTTCACAAGTTTTCTCCTTGAAAACTTCTTAACACCAGGGATAAGAAAAACCAGATAATCTTTGGAGTTGACATAGCCTTGATTCTTTCGTTGCTCAGAATGCCAACCTCTTGCCAGTAAGCGGGGCCAAACAGCTTCCCAAAAGAGATCATTACTTTTGGCTTTGCTCAGTCGAATTCCTCCTGTCAAGAATTTTATTATCTCACTGGGCCCAAGAGAAGACCAAGCTTTGGAAGTTGGTGCTGAAAACACCCTATTGTTCTTCCCAACTTCCACTGCAAGGCTCGTAAGGTCTTCCTTCTCCTTACCAATACCAACTGCTTCCACAAGAACAACAAGTCCAACAACAGACTTTAAAGAAGATACATACTCTTCTAGAGAAGCTTTGCCCTCCACATATGACTTAGAAACCTGATTATATAGATAAAACCAAAGAAAGGGTGAAGCACATAAATGATACAATTGGAATGATGAGCAAATAAAAATCCACAGGCCATAAAAGTTAAAATAACCATTAGTACATCACAATAGCATAACAATGCAATCAGTTATTCCGCCCATATTACCATTGTAAAAAGCATGTCAGATTAAAGATATAAGTTAATAAGAAACTTTGGAAATAGTACAGCTTTCATTTTCTAACATCAAATGGGCTAGGAGAAACAATCCAAGCATTTTGAAGCTCATAAACACAATAAATTAGGTACTTCAAAATGACATTGAATCTGTTGATGCTGATAGCTTCAGTTCTTCCCAACTGTAAAAACAACCATAAAAAATGGACAGACACTCATTGTATATATATAACACCACAAAAACCAGATTATTGTCAAACTAAATTATTATTGCCTCACAAAAAATCACATCACTTCTAGAATGAATTTAAATAAGGATATATTTAAGATTACAGGAGAAAAAAAATTACAACTTACAAAGAACTATATCAGAGAAGTGACATTTGAAAATAATAGAAATTTTGAAATCCTAGAATGCAGTGATACAGGCTAAGCCAATCATCAGGCAATTGAAATATACTCGTTTTAGTTCATTAACAGCACATTTGATACCTGCATCAAAGCATCTTGAGATTCTTCTGAGACATGGGGAATCAAGCGAGACAATAATTCCTGTTGCCTCTGCCCAGAAAAGAGTTTCTGTCCTATCATACATTTTCTTCCTTTTATCTTCCTGCAGTCTGACCATCTACGATATTCATCAGACTTGTAAAACTTTCCATAGTAAAATGACAGGATTTCCCCCATCCCTTTGTTTCCCAAGAATTTTTTTATCCGAATAAAATTCTTCCCAAAAATAAACAAACCAAGGAGAAGACTTTTTGCATCAGCTTCATTCCAGGAGTTACTCAATGTGTCAGGGGCCAAAACATAATTTATGCTTTTACCCAGTTGACCTGAATTTCTGTCTCCTGTCATCACTGACTGAATTGCACTTGGTTTCAGCTCTTCCTTATTGTCTAACATACTGTTATTTTTAACATTAGTTGCTTTTGCAAGTTCAATTTCATTGACTGTACCATCAATGTCTGCAAGATATCCCCTCCCTTCTCGTCCACTACCCTCCACTTCATTATGCATCCATGTGACTGAGATGGGTAAACCAATTGCAAAGGAAAGTGAGTTATCGTGTATAACTTCTGAATCAGCAGGATTCATTAGAAGTTGAATTCGTTCTGATTCCTTTATCATGAAGGGGACTTCCACCTGGTATTCTTCACCAACTCTAGGATTCGATTGCGGTGCTCCAACTATATTGCTTATATCAGGCAAATCCAGAGGACCGTTAGATGCATGGTCCATGAAACTATCATTATAATTCTGCTGAATTAACTCCATCTGCCAAGAAACATAGGATAATAAACCAAACAAACTATAAACTCAAATAAATCAAACTTAAGAAGAAATATTATAAAGGAAATGCAGATTAGAGTTAGACAACATTATCAAGGAGCATACTTCATACGTGTTACAAACTCCAACTATACTTAAAATTAATGTACAGAGTTACTCACCAGTTAATCATATTTACCACACCACTGTTCACACTAATCAAATTCTTTTGAAAAAACGTATCATCCATGAGCTAAAGATTAGTGTACAAGCAACAGGTGCAATTTTTGAGATTGGCCAGTAATTCCAAAAGGATTCCAATAATTAAAGCAATATTTTTTCATACCAAAGAAAAATAGAACACGGCTGAAACTACAACGAGTGCTAAAACGATAAAGCATCAAAATCCTCAATACAGATACCTAAATCACTCAAATAAAACATTTTTCTGCCAGAAAAACAAAATTTATCAACCACTCAAAGACAGCATTCTTCATTGGCCAACACAGATTCAAAACAATTACACACACCATACAATAACCACTATGCATACGATAAATTAAAAACCCTTTGAGGAAAATTAAATAACCAAGCAAGGAGAAGAAAAGCAACCCCGGATCCACTTGTAGTCAAGTTCATACCATAAACAAAGCAACACCACACATTAATATACATAACAAACTTCTAACAATAAATCGAAATATTAAGGACCCAAAAGAATATAAATATTATGAACAATCTTTCTCCCTACCGGATGAATGTTATCAGTTATTATAAACACATTGGAGAAGTTAAAAGTTAATGAGAAAGAAAGATGAGTATTTGATAACCTCGATATATATGTCAAAAGAAAGCAAACGCAGAAGAAGAAAAAAGAAACAAAAGGGTGTTAATATAGTGTTGTGATAGAAGAACACGTAGAAGGAGAAGAGAGAGAACCTCTTGAATGGGTGAAGAGAAGAAGGAAAGTGAATTCGGCAATGGGCAATGACATGAACAATAACAACAACCAAATGACACTACTAATGTGACTCTGACTCACTCGGCCGAGTTGAGTTCAGGACGTGCTTTCAAAGCATAAGTTGAAACTTCACAAAGGGTTCACTACTAATACTTCCATTTTCTATTTTCACCCCTCTCTTCTCTCTAAATCTTTTTTAATTACACTCAATTTTTCATGCGTCATTAACATAATATTAATCAATAATACCTTTTTTTCCCCTCAAATACAACTCTTTTGCTTTACACATCCAATTTTAAAATATCTGATCTTGTGGTTTGTTTTTTGATAAATCACTAATATTTTTTTACGAATATTATTAAATTAAAATATACTGTAAGAGTATTTTAAACTTGTGTAAATTTAACAACAGTAAATGTTATAGTTGTTCATAATAAATATTCTATATATCAAATAAAGATTTAACTCATAAAAGCTTTATCGTTTGAATGTTTTATATTGTGTATCTAGACATCCAATTATTAAATTTAAAATGGTTTTGCAATATATTTTAAAATTTTCATTTAAAAAATTATTATGATATAATTATATTCATGTAATGTGTGGAAATTTTACTAGCTTTACTGTAAAACTTTCAAATTTTATCAAACAAAAACATTTTATTTAACAAAAATTTTTATAAATTAACAACTAAAAATATTTTTTATTTTTAACAATAAATATTTTTTATATTAAAAAAATAAACTTAAAAATAAAAAATTTTAAATTAAGAAATAAATTATATAAAATAGAAAATTTATTTAAGATTGAATTAAAAATTTTAAATATATTATGCAAGAAAAATTATGTGGCATACTGAAAAGGAAAATAACTCTTGAAAATGCTTTTTTCTAAAATAATCTCTAAAAATATTTTTATTTAAGAATGTAAAATTAAATTTAATGTGTGTTTGGAAAAGTGTATCAATCAGATAAAAGTTCATTTGCTATTTTAAAAATTAGTTTAACAAAAATAGCTAAATAAAATATTTGTAATAGGTAACTAATAGTATTTTGAAACGTTAATTTTCAGCTACGAAGTAATTTTTTTATCGCTATATCTTTTTAGTAATTTCTCTTTTACCTATTTAATTTCTTAAACTTTAATAACATGGAGGACAAATATATTGGAATGAAATATTTTTAATTTTCTGTGGAATGTCATATAATATTTTTTTAAAAAAATTCAACATTATGCTATTTTCTTAAGAATTTTATTTAAATTATTTTACTGACTATATTAATTTGGTATAAAATATGTTATCTTTATTGATAGAAATATACAATTATAAAAATTAATTACTTTATATAATTTTAAAAAATATTATTTATACAAATTTAAAAAACGTTTTAGATTTTGAAAAATAAAGTTTTAGTTGATTAAAGTTTAATATGTTTCTTATTAAAAAGAAAAAGAAACATGTAACAAATGACCCAAAAAAGTTACAATTTTGTTACTTCAAATTTAAAAATATTAGATAAAAATATAATAAATGAGGGTAAAATTAAAAAAAAAAGTATCTTAATTTTGAAGATGATAAGTAATTTCAAATAAATTAATATAAACCTTTTAAATTATTTAAAATATATATTTATAAAATTTTAAATTCTAGTTTAATAATTAATAATATCATTATTTATTTATTTTTATATTTAATTTTTTATTAAAACATTAACATTTTATTAAAGATAAATTCATAATATAAAAATACTTTAACCTATTACCATTCTAACAAAATAAAAAAATAATTTTAATAATAATATTTAATAAAATTAAATATTTCACTAACATTTAATATACTATTATTAAAAAAATATTATTCTGTTAAAATTAAATTGTGCATACAAGTGCAAATCACACTTTACAACCCTCTCTCTCATTTTTTTTTTTTTTTCACACTAAATTCCACACACTCATAATTTCATATAAATTTTTAAGTAAACATAAACTTACACTAATATTTTTATATTAATTAGCTAGTAAAATAACTAATTTTATATATAAAGAAAACAAAAATTCAATTGACTACCTTTTCAATTTTCATATTTTAGTTTTCATCTCTTACATTTTAATATTTAGTTAGCTTATTTAAACACGTATATAAGTTGAAAAAAAATCGCATACAACTATAATGGACTTTTTTTTTATAATTTATTAAAATAAGGTCTTTTCAACTTATATTAACAAATTTTATATTTAAATTTATGATTTAAACTATTCAAATGCATATATGTGTTTATTAATAAATTTTCAACTTATATTAACAAAATAAGGTCTTTAAAATAAAAATTTATTAAATAAGTGTTTAATTAAATTGTTATTCAAACGTATTCTAAGTTAATTACATGTTCCGTAGTTTTGAACTGTGATCATTTATAAACTCTCACGTAAATGCCTAAAATGCTCAGATAATATCAGTGTATGCACAACAATTATATTGGAAATGAAATGAGATGGGGAAAGTAAGGATCTACTTATTTTTAAAATCTATAGTTTATTTTCATTTATTAATTATAAAAATATATTATTTTATTTTATTTTTACTTTTAAAAGTTTATATAAGAGATAGTAAAAATATTTAAAAAAAAAAAAAAACGTTTTCAATGTGAATGGAGGATTTTACAGGGTCACACAATCAATTTCCAATAGCTTTTCACTTCAAAACCGATCAAATAGGTTGGAAAAATTAATCCATACTTATTACACTTTTTAAAATTTATTATAAATTTTACATGATTTTAAAAAATGTTAAAATAACTAATTCAATTTTATTGGAAACAAGCTCTAAAAATTATTTAAATTTTTATTAATCACTAGCAATCATAGTCGTCCGATGCTTGAGAGATTCGGTATTATAAATTATTTATAATAAGAAGAATAATAATCCACAGTTTTGTTTTTGAATTCTAACAGTGCTTGTGAATATTTAAAAAGAAAGGTTTAATTTACTTTTAAAATAAAAAGAAGATTAAAAAAATCACCATAACATTATTTTCTAATAAAACATATACAATAATTTCTAATGGATACATTAAGCAAAGTTAATAAATAATTTCTGGTTTAAAAGCTTATTATTGGTGAATATCTTGTAAGAAAAAATGATACTTAAATTACATAAATATGATATCATAAAGGCTTGTTATTATGTAAAATGTTTGCATCTAAACTACTATGCAATAAGAATATTTTTTTAATAGAATCTAAGCATTAATTTGTATGAATATAAAATTTCTATTTATGTATCATCCTTCGTTGAGTCAGTTGTTTCGTAAAAAAATAAATAATAAACTTATCTTTTAATCAATAAAATCTTAATTAACCTTTCTTTATTTATTAAATATTGAACATAAAAATCAACTGAACTTTTATTTCATGTAAAAATACATGGTAAAAAATAGATTTTACTTAATTCTAAAAAAATTAAAAGTATAAATAAAATTACATACCATAATTACAATAATATCGTTAAAAAGGTATAAATTAAATATCAGCAGTGTAATAAATATTTTTTTATCAATAAATTATTTTAGTTTCTTAAAAGCTAACATTTATATTTTCTATTAAATTTAAATGCCTTGAAGGTGTTCAGGTAAATGTTTAAATAGCATTTTGTATGGAAAAAAAAAAAGAAACCTTTTAAGAAAATGACTAAAGAAATTGAAAGATGATTTTAATTTATTACTTATTTGATAGGTATAAAATCATGGTCGAGGTTGAAATGGTAGACGAATTTTTTACTGCTCAAAATTTAGGAAAGCATAGTTCAGAGAAGAGAACATGGCGGCAGCTGAAGAGCTTTTTCTTATGATGCAAATAAAAAGGGGCATGCATCAAGTCAGGCCCATTGAGCCGAACAGACCTTAACCTGTATGATTTTGGAATTTACTTTTTCACAACATTTTTTATTTCTTTTTTATGTCTAAAATAGTATGTAATTAAATAGTATAAGAGTGAGTTAATATGTTTAAATTGTTAGATATATATTTTTTTAAAAAAAATTAGTGATCTAGATTTTTTATTTTCACTTAATAATACTAATTTTTATATATATGATTTAATCTCCTATAAAAATCTATAAAATTTATCTTTTGACTTTCAAAAGTTATTACTTTAAATTTTTATAGAATTATATTGAATGTCATTTTTATCTTTTTCATGCAAATCTTGTATGTATCCCATATCTATATGACAATTTTAAGAATTAAAAGTTTTATATGCACTAGTACATTTTTAATTTATAATAAAAATAATTTTTAAATAAAATAAAATATTAAATGTTATTTTAGATTTTTAAGATTTTCTGCAAACCTCTATGTGTACAATTTATAATTTCAAAATTAAAACTTTCACATATACTCTAATAGTCTCAATTTATCATAAAATTTAACTTTTGTATTGATAGATTATTCAATATTATCTTAAATCTTTCTCATGCTTTCCTTACACACTTGTTGCATATGCTTAGCATAATATTTACAAAATTTGCTTGAGCCATTTTAACTTCATTTAAGCAAAAAATATAGGAAGAAAATGATTCATTAGATGAATATTGCTGAATTTGGAATATTATTAGCTTAAACAAAATTATTTGGCTTAAGAGAATTGTGCAAACACAGAAATCCTGCAATTTTAGCTTAAGCAAAAAATAATGGCTTAAGAAAAAATTAAAAAAATTTGTATGATCATCACTATATAAAATTAGTTTAAACAAAATTTACAAGAAATTATTTTTCTGCATTTTTAGCATTCAAACACATCTCTATTATGATTTAGGCAAGTTGTTCATTACATTAATATACATTTGTCTCATACACTACGAAGATAGTAAGAAAAATATATTTTACACCTCGGAGGGGCTATAATTAGAAATACCATTATTTTTGCTACAAAAGTTCTTATAAAAATGAGAAATGTCTTACATTTAAGTGCATTTAAAATATTGATTTACGTTATTGAAATTTGGTTATTCACCATGTACAACGATTCCTCCTAAATGTTTATGGTTAAATAGTTAAAACACCCAACTCATAAACTCATAACTGGTGAATTTATAGGTCTAATTCTTAAAAGATGAACGTCAATTGAATCCTCCTTCCACTAAAAAAATTAGGATGAGAATATGATATTTTTAAATTTAATTGGTTCCACTTAACCATATTACACTTCAAGGTATGACAATACAAATAGTATATGATTATTTAGGTTGTAATATTTGAAAAACAAGTTTACATACAATAAGAAAGAATTGAAGTAGGATAAAGATAAATTAAACAAAACTTTTACGACACTATTCTAAGTAAGGATTATTTGATTATATTTGATTTCTTGCCTTAGATCTCTTTTAAATTTTTAACTTTAAATTTCAACTGCAACCACTAAATCTATTGAACTAACTATTAGAAACATAAAGAAAATACTTAATAAATTATTTTCAAAGTATGACAATGTAAAGATAAAAAGGTATGAGTTTAGAAAAATAAGATTGAATTTTATGTAAATAAAAAAAAACCCTACCTTATCATTATAATTATGTTTTTAAAAGATATTTACCTTAAAAATTACTTTAAAAACTTGTTTTAAAGATATGATATTAATATCTTTAACTTAAAAAATTTATTAAAGATTAAAATATAAATATTAAGGATTAAATTTTTCTTATTAATTTATTTGAGTCATAACATACTAACTTATGGTAATCGTTATAACTATTTTTTTTTTACCAAAATATTTTTTAATTATATTTAAAAGATTTTGTTAACTTTAATCTTTAGGATTAAGTTTAAATATTCACCGATTGAAAATTTTTATGAAAAAACATTATATTAAAGTTATAAAAATATAATAAATATTTTTTTTAATAAAATTTTACTATTATTAGCTGAGCCTAAAGTTAATAAAATTTATATTTAAAACTATTGTTGTGCATTTGTGGCTCCATTTTCACTGAGAATCAACTATCCAGTGTTTCTAACCTATCGCAAATATGTGGTTTTATCTTTCACCGCATTAAATTTGCTGTTAGAAAAAAAAAAATTGGAAGTATATATGTGAAGCTCTCATAAATTTACTTTTAGAAGGTAATAAAAACTACTTTAAAATATAGTTTTCGAAATCTAAGTTCATCATAATGGAAAATAGTACAGGGGTTATAGTTTCTCTGGACCTCATCTTTTCTCCTTTTTCAGATTGCATATAAGATTGGTACATTATGCAAATCTTGGATGCTAGGATATAAAATTTCTTCGTATAATGATTCTGGATGTTCTTTGAATATTTCTAATTCTAAGTAGAAATTTTGTTCATGAATATTCTTTTGAAAAATATGATCCATGTGCAGTAAATTAATCAATGTCTTGAATTGAACGTTCTATGCTATTCTAATTAATTAATAGCTGTTATAATTTACCTTAACTCTTCCTAAGACCTTTGCTTAGAAAAAAAAAATGTGACAAAAGGAGAGAAAAAAAACACATTAAAAGTAAAAGTTTACAAAAAAAATTATTAGGAGCATAAAACGAAAAAAATTTTAATTATATATATATATATATATGAGGTTTTGGTCCCCTAATTTTTATTTGCTCACATTTAATTTTTTTAATTTTTTAAATATATGATTTAGTTTTATAAATTGTGTTGAGGTGATGTGAAAATAAAGAAATCTCACACTCAAATTTACTTATATAATTTGTTCGAAGTCAAGGCAGATCTTTCGAGTATTTTAAATCCACTTGTATTTCTCAAGAGGTTGTACATACGCGGAGAATAAAAAATAAAATACATATTATATGTCTGCTAATGAATTTATTTACAATGGTTTGCCTTCATTTGACATAGCATATATGGTTAACTGGTTAATATAATTCATTTTATTTTTAAAATTTTGCGACTTCAAGATGGATATAATCTTGTGCTAATGGAGTTTATAGAAATAAAGTTCTTCAGATTAGTCACTGCTTAAACCCATCCTGTGGTCCCAACACATTGTTCTGAGCCAAAAGCTGTTCATTCATAAATGAAGTTTTGGCTCCCAGTTGAAGGACGAAGTGCCTGGTACCAACTTGTTCTCAATTCTATTTAATTTTGGTGTAAACACTTCCGCTTCTTTAATTGTTATTGCCACGCTATATGGCTTGAGCTACATAAAAGAATACTTGTACATGAAGAAATGAATTATCTAGAACTAGGATTACAACACTTCATTTTCGCAGACATTGACTACAATAATTCTTAGGTGAAGAACATACAAGTGGCAAATCAATCATTAAACGCAACAATGACCTTATACACGAATTCCAGCGATTTTTTACGATACTTATGATCAAAAGAAATGAGATAAATCAAGTGAAGTAAAATTACTACGGAATTTTATATACTTATTGTATGATAAAAAAAAATTTAAAATTTTCATTTTGTTAAAATGGAGGAAATATTAAATTATCTCCACTGCCATTTACATAAAGAATATTAACTTGGATTATTATTAATTTCAAATAAATGTAATTTTCTTTATCTAATGAAGGCACTAATAAGTATAAACAGCGATTGCAAAACATTAAATTTAGGAAAAATATAGATTGAGAAACATAAACAGTTAAAACAAAATTTGGATGAAATTGGCATAAAACTAATAAAACGTTCACACTAACGATGGCCTATGGCATCATCCTGAAGGAGGTCGACCAAGAGTCATCCAAAACGTCCCATATTATCTTGAATTGTACCAATTTCCATGAACTAAAGCCATTAATAAATTTGGAAAACACTAATAAAATTAAGCAGCACCCTTTCCCTTCTTCCTCTGGATTTTCTTCATGTAAAATTCCAGTTCCTTGCCTTCCAGAATGTACCTGCACAAATTTGGAAAATAAGAGAATTAAACAACAAATCAATATTAAACTAGCTCACATATTCTGTCAAATACAGTTTTCTTACCCGTCAGCCCTGCCACATTGACCAGGGCGAGAAGAAATACAGGCCAACAACCTGCCACCACCAAATTGCTCTTCAATGTGGGAATCTAGTTTGCGATCTTTCTGGCGCTTCTCAAGTTTTCTCTGCACATGGTTACTTTTCTTGGTTTCTTCTGCAGCTGTTTCACCCTCCTGAAAGTTTGACAACAGAGGATCAAAACACACAAAATGCAGGCTATTCAATGCACAAAGTGACAATATACATACAGTACCATCCGTCGTAAATAATTTCAACTTTATTCATAAGAAAGAACAATACAAGAATAAGTAACTCCATTACAAATCAGACATTTTCCAGGAAATAACCAGGGTTCTAATTATGAACTACAGTTTTGTTAAACACAAATGTAAAAAATTACCTACTTCTCAGACCATATTTTCAGAAAGCACATCCAGACTAATACACGCAGTGATTACTTTAGATTTCAACACATCTCGCACCCATTATAAATAGAACTTTTTCCCAGCAAGTAAACAGGATTCTAATTATGAATTACAATTTGGTGAAAAACAAATGTAAACAAATTATCTACTTCTCGGACAATATTTTCAGAAAGCACATCCAGAGTAATACACACAGTGATTGCTTTTCATTTCAACACATCTCCCACCCAATATAATTCCAATAAGCAAAGGTAGAACTACTGTTTAAGAAATAAATGAAAGAACTTACATATCACAGGAAAATAATAATAGAAAAAGAAAATTCACAAAAGCATTACCTCAGTTTCCTTCTTGGATGCTACTTTCTTTTTTCTACCAATATCAACACCATAGTGCTGAAGGTACCACTGCTTGAAAGGAGCAGCATCAACCTGGACAATAGCACTCTTGACCAGGGTCTGAGTTCGCACCAGCTCGTTGTTTGAGGCATTGTAAACCACATCCAGAATACGAGTCTTACGAGTTACTGCTTCACTACCCCATGAGTAATTTCCAGTATCCAGTCTCAATGCCCTCCATTTCACATTGCCACCTCTAACACGAATCCTCCTGACTGTCTTGTTGCTTGATAACTTAGTGTTTGCTGGCTGGCGACCAAGCTCATACCTATAAAAATCCAGCAGAAGCATCATAGTTAAATAAAAATTGATTGGGATACAATATTATCACATCAACACTCAAACAAATGGCCATCAAAACCATTATAAAAATTAAGCAATAACAGGCTTAAATAATCACCAATAAAGTTAAAATCGAACAAAGTTGCAAGCTTTAAAAAATAATAACAATTTAGGTATGTATATGATCATTTGGGAAGGATTGGAAATTATGCCACATTAAATTCCAGAGTTGCATAACATCATTAGATGTGTATATGCTCATTGATGATACGTCTCAATAACCAAACATGACAATGGACTGATGGTATGGAGCTAATGTAGGGATTCTATCTCTCCAAACTTTTTGAAAATTACATTTTCAAATGAAATGCATTCATACCTTAATCAAACAGGGTTTTGACAATATGGATTCTCCATTGCCTATAAAAATCTATAATTCGGAATGACTAAAGCTAGATCTGACACCCACACACTTGCAGGTATGAACTAATTCATCAAACGCCCACCCCCTACAAATCAACATACAACAGCCACTGCAAATATCTGAATTGCAACCATTCACATTCTTATATTCAAAGTCTTATTTCACAAGCAACCAGAAGATAGGAATTAACCAATCAATCAAAATATCCCTTAAATAAACACAAGCATCTCATTAAAGAAGAAGATAAGCTACTTTAAGCAGAAAAAATAAAATAGAAACGTAAGCATCAAATTTAAAATAGTGTTAAAAAAGTGCATTACTTTCTCTTCTTCCTCCAGGCCTTCTTCTTGCCACCAGTGGCACGCCTCTTGTGCATGGAATCCCTAGAAATACCTGTTGAAGAACAAGAACGAAACTCCTCAGAGAAAATTCAACAAACATATACACACAAGACATAGCTGTTATCAGCAATTGAACTACGAAAGATCGAAGAACCGACGTTGAAACTTAAAATGAACCGAATCATACCCATCTTGGTGGAGCGTTGAACTCTCTCTCTCTCTCTCGCTCGCCCCCTCTCTGATAAAACCCTAATAACTAAACTACGCTATATAATCCGAAAGACGGAACCCTAGTCATTCGAATTTTGGATTCAGGTCAGACCCGGCCTCTCATACCTTTTTGGTCCACACCCGGCCTCTTTTGTCATTCTTCTGGATATCAAATTTGGGCCCAAACATGGGCTTTCTTGCAAACCCAACCCAACCACACCTGATCCGATCCTACTTTTTCTATTTAATTATAAAATATAATTCATTATTTAAATACAAAAAAGTCATCACATCATTTCATTCGATCAGAGGGAGAAGTAAGTTTCAAATATTCATAGAACTAGATATATAACCGGGCGTTCTGCAAATACTTTTTTTTTTCTTTTTAATATTATATTTATCAACCTAAAATAACATGCAAATTAATATATGAGCCATTTTATTAATAAATAATAGGAATTTATCATAGAATCAAAATAAAAAATCATTTTAGATATATGTTTTTATGTTATATGAGTTTTATAAAATTATATAACAAATAGATGATGAAAAAAGTTTGTTTTACTTTATCATATTTTAAACTTTATAATACGACATTTTATATTTATCAAATTATTCAAAAAAGTTATTTCACTTCTATTCAATTTAATTGATAATTTTCTTCTTATGCTTCTTACATACATAATTCATTAAAAAAATCTTTATTTTAAAATAAAAATTTAAACTTTAACATACACATGAAAAGTATATAAGTAGTGAATAGTCAAAATAGAAATATGATAGGATAATTCTTATTATGAGGAGGGTGATAAGTTAGAAAGCATCAGGATATGATAATTACTTTCTTATTATATTTTTATTCATATTTTATACCATTTTTAATATTTTATAAAATATAATTATTTTTAAAAATCTAATTTAAATATTTAAAAAATTATGTGAAATTTGTTTAAATAAGTATATTTTTAAAAAATTGTAAAAATAGTTTAATCATTTTATAAAATACATTTTTAAAAATTATAATTTTTTATTTTAATTATAATTTCTTACCTAAAATTAAATTTTAATTGTAAAAAATTTTAAAAAATATAATTTAATATCAATTTTTAATACCATATATACATACTTTTTTAAAGTTTTTAATATCTATATATATTTTAAAGTAAAAATTTAAATAATTTTTTAAAATATTATAATTTTAATAAAAGAATATTATTGTCATTTAAATGTAATTTATATTTTATTTTTTATTTTTTATTTATCTTAAATAATAAAAAATTATATAATATTATTTATTTTACTATATTAATGTACATTAAATATTGAAAATGATAAAAACTTATTATTCTCTTATTATATTTTATATTTATCTGTCTCTGTCGTATCAAATTCACTAAATAAGTCTTTAATTAATTTATTTGTTTACTATATATGATTTTGATGCTTCTAAGTATTATTCAAGTCAAATAAAAACTTACTAAGAATTGAAAATTCAACATGAAAAAAATGCTCAACTTCTCCAGACCGCAATCAAATTATCACAAGATATGTAAAAGGGTGAATTGATGAATGTTACAAACTCATTTCAAAGAGCAACATGTGCCACACAACACATTTATTAATCACGAGACTCATTTTGCTTAGTAAATATGCTTAATACATTAACTCACCAACAGCAATGCACTAAGAATGGACAAAAAGAATTTTTAAATACCTTTGTGATCTTAGATATTTTAGAATTTTCAAATGTTGATTAGGCAACAAACACTAAAGACAAAAAATAAGCAACTGGATATTGTGTCTGTCTTGATAAAAACTCTTATCAATTGAGCCTCAAGAAAATTAAGGCTGATTTCTCAGTCCAATCAAAATAGTTTTATGGTGTGATAATTTGAATGCTAGCCTCCAATCATACCAAATTAAAACTCATTGAATTATAGTTAGGTATGTCCCTTCAATTTGATCAAATAATGTATTTTCTCACCAAATTCTCACCCACTCTATATTTAGTCAGCTTAGCCACAAGCTTGCCGTGATGTTTATACCTCTCATTTGAGAGTTAAATTTATTAGTTGAATCAATTTTTCACGATCAAATTACAATATTATAATTAATTCTATAAATTATAATATCTCATAATTTTAGGAAATTAGCTATTAATGTGCAATTATAAATCTCTCTTCTTGTAATTTATATATAAGAATAACAATAATTATAATATTATAATACACGTCTCATATTGTAAAAATTTATCTTTATGCATTTTCATCCACTCTAGGGAAGTTAAATCTCCATATTCATTTTCATTACTCGCAAATATAATTTATATTTTTTATAATTTAATGTAAAATATTAATTAATTTTTTTAATTAATTAATATTATTTAAATATTTTATTATATATCTCATTTATACGTTCTTCAATTTTTTATTATATATTTAATATTATTTTTAATAATTAAATTAATATGAAATATCTTTTTAAATACTACATAAATAATTGAATATTAAAAAAATTTATTAAATATATAGCATAAAATTAGATGATATAACATGAATGAGGTATTAAATATATTATAAACTCAAATCAAAATTTAGTACAAATTAACTAATTTTTTATAAATAATATTTAATAAATTTTATTTTATCCAAAAAATAGAATAATGCAATAAAGATGAACTTGATAATACTTACTAGGAATGAATAGCAAAACTTGACAATATATATATATATATATTAAATATATGCAAGCCGACCAGTTCTTCCTTAAAACGTTAACTTGACAATGAATCATATATATATACGCATACACGACCGTATTGTATCATACAAAGTGCACGACAATTCAAATCTACAAAAATGAAGTTTCTCATCCATGGAAGCCAAACTGAATTGCATATACATAATCAACAAAAAATTCAAGCTCAAAAAATAGAATCAATTCCAACAAAATCAACAAGGTGTGCTTCTCATAATGCACATATTCTTATTCATAGTTGATTTTCAAGTACAAGCCAAGCCGGGCATAACAGCAAGTTATACCTATTCCATAAGGTAAGGCCACTAGATAGTACCGTATGCATCTGAGACTAATATATAGAGTTGCTACCTAACCAGTGACCACGACCTAATACGTTTGTAGCTAATAATAGAAACCAAATTCACGATTTGAACAGTGCACAAGACTAAATAGAAATTAACAATATCCCGAATATGTGCATATATGAGGCTAATATATATAGAAACCACATCCAAGATTTGAACAGAAGGTGAAGTAGTTGACTATAGGGATCAGGTGCGGCATGATGCACACGAGCAATCTGTGGCGCATCTGCAACCAGTTCCAGCAGCAACAGTTTTGGGACATGAGCAAGGATTGCACTCACAGTGCTCTCCGCATGAGCATGTCAAGTGTTCACCCCCTCCTGCAGCAGAGTCGCCACTTGTGCACCTGCCAACAAATAATCACTTTTTTTTATCAATCCATGAATCGATGATATCTCTTTATTTGAGAAGAATTTCAAGAATCGAATGAGAAACGAAATTGTGCTCGTGGAATCCTGAAACTAAAGAGATTGATTAACATATAAGAATTAAGAGACCTGCAAGTGGAACCACCGGGGCATGGAACTGTGCAGCCACACTTGTTATCACAGACAGCCACTCCTCTTCCTGTATCTGCCATCTCTTATCTCTCAATTATTTTCAAATGAATGCTTCGAGAGTGTTCACCATATGTTGCCTTTTATATATGTCTCGAGATACCAAATGTCACCTTCACATTCTACGTGGCAAAACCTTCACATGCAATTGCTCAGCTCAAACCACGTACAACATATATGAGACTTTGGATTAGGATCAATCTAGATGAACCGGCACAACTGAATCTTGTAGAAGAATTTTTCTCTTGACCTATTCACCGTTGTACATTACCCATGTCGTGAATCACACGTAAAAATTAACTATCGTTTCTAGTTAACTCTAATTATACTTGGTACACGTGTATTGCACTAGATGTTTCAACTGTGTTTTAATTTAATGCTAAAAATAAGTGCTTGTAACGATCAATGATACTAACTTGAATCATTTAAAAATCGATCAACTTTATAATTTTTGTAACATTTAATGGCCAACGAACAAGAATGCGTTAGATGGAGATGGGGTGATGCTCACCAGGGTTCGCCATTCATTAATCATTGGTTACGTGTAAACATGAGAAAGAGAATTGGTTTGCAAATTACACAAGTAATGACCAGTTGATGAAATAAAAAGGAAGATGTGGAGTTACATTATCACACTTACTCTAAAATTTGCACAGCTAAAACGCCTTATTCCCAGATTCGTATATGCATATTAGAGAGGTATATACACCTTCACTAACCCTCCACAACTACGGTATCTTGGATGCGGTGAACGGCTTTCACTGTTACTGCTCCTTATCTGCTGCACCAATCCCAAATCTTACCTTTTTTTTTTTTTTTTTTTTAAATTAAGAATGTTAGAATTGTTGAAAAAATTTAACAGAAAAATAAAAATAATAGCAACATAAAAGTTAATGATAATTGCAATTATACGAGAAAAGCATTCAAAATATTTTGCCATGGTTTTACACAAAAACTATTAGATACAACAGTCACTTCTTATTAATATTGTACTAGAAATAACAAAAATACACGAACAATTAACACTTATGAGTGTTCAAAGAAACTAACTTAAATGAATAATAAATAGATAAAATACTATTTTTATATTTATTTTTTTTATTTTTCATCTCTATTTTTTTCTAAACAAATCTATCTTTTTTATATGAATAATGCTATTTAAAAATTTCGTTTAAGTGTTTATACCCAACACTATATGCGGGAGAGTGAAGTTTTAATTTAAATTTTTTGGGAATAGACACGATGTAAGATGTAGACACCTAAATCTAGTGTTTGAATAGTATTATTCTTTTTATATACACATGTAGTATCATATACGTGCTTATGGAACTACACCCATTGCTAACAACTCATCTGTATATATAAGGCAGCATAAAGTGTATTAATACTTTCTTTGAGAAAAAATTGTCAACTTCCTACGTCATTTAGAAAAGTGGTTCTCTTATTTGGATAATACATTGTAGCAAAATTTCCATCTTTTGAAAAGCTTGAAACAAAACACCTTTTAAAAAAGTAGTTACTAAAACAAAATAAATAAATAAACAACAACAATAATAATACAATCTCTAATATATTTTTTATTTATAAAATATTTTCCAAGAGCTTAAAAATCAATGCTTAAGTACTAGTGTCTTTTGTAATATGAACTAGCACATAGTTGTGATTCACTAGAATGTCGGTGAGATTGGAACCTCTAATAAACCTTATTTCATTCCTCAAGTTGACTCTCATCCAAAGTTGTTGAACAGGGTGTGATGCTTTTTGATTTTGCACCAACTCATCCTCCAGCGTTTGAGTAACACACTATCATATATCATAGGAACAAATTCTTAGAATGATTGGATTGATTCTCAATCAATTGACAAGTAACTTATTATTACCCATAGAAATATAATCTATAAAATTTTCATAAATATATATTAAGTTACGATCATTCTTAATTTTTGTATTAGATATAAGTCTCATTTTTTATCAATATATTGTTGACTGTCAAAGGATCAATGGAATATGACCCCATCATCTGGGAGTTGCTTCACAAAATTATGATGTATACATCAATTTGTTTCTCTTACTATTGCTTCTTAGCAATAATATATCAACATTAAAATTAAATTTTTTTTATTACTTTGATGATTTTCAAGTGACAACCCATTCACTAAGGATAAAATTAAATTCATTTGTGAACATATTTTTATCCTTTTATTTTCTTAATATAAGCATTTCACATAAAAAATAAAAATGACATTTAAATTATCAAAATATTTACAATAAATACACTTATAAAAACTATTTTCTTAATTTTGGCCAACCAACATTATTTACAACTTTAAAGTTTGGCCAATCAAAATATTTAGTGCCATTTTCCCCCTTTTTTATTTGATAAAACTTTAGCTAAATACACTTACATTTTAAGCCATTTTAAATCATGTACAAGTTTTTTTTTTTTAAAAAGTTCAAAACATGCAAATTCTATTTTATTTATATTTTTAGCTTCTATGCCTATTAGTTATTTTTCATTATTACTTAAGTAAATAAAATTTAAATCTCTTATTTTCTTAATATAAAAGAAATTATCATGTCATAATTTATCATGCCATAAATAAAATAATTAAGAAAAAAACATGTATTTTCATTCTTAATTTAAAAAATATTTAGCTGAAACAAACCATTATTATAATATCTTTTTCTCACAAAATCATTTATAAAAGTTGTTGGCTTGGTTGGATAACACATTGTAACAATATTTCCATCTTCAAAAAAGCTTGAAATAAAACACCTTTTAAAAAACCAACTTAACGTTATTTTTTTTTTGTGTTATATAAATAATTTAATATTTCATTATATCAACAATTGATGATAGTTTTTTTAACTTAATTATGTTTTTATTCTTATAAATATTAATTATTTTATAATAAATATTTATAATTTTTTTAGAATTTAATTTTATAAAATTAAAAAATTAAAATTTAATCTCATTAACTCATCTATCTATAAAGTATGAGAGTGGCTAAGGAAGAGTAAACTTAACATTTTACGTGACTATCACAAAATTCAATCACTGGCAACGTAACATGCCACGATATTTTTAAAATTTTTTATTATTTAAAATTAATATTTATAAAAAAGTTTATAATTATAATTTTTATATTTTTATTTTTTCTCCTATTCTTTCTCTCCCATCTCCCTTGCCGAAACCACTCCACCCCACCTCCTACCTCCTACCTCCAATTGTTCCGTAAGCAAGATTCAGAAGCAATAACAAACGCGACTAATCCTACCATATCAAAACGTGGGCCTGCAAAAGGAACCAAAACAGCACATCATCATGATAGAAAAAAAGAACAATTATTATTATTTTCATTACACATAAATCCCAAAACTTATGAAACTTGATGTATGAAATGAATCATACACATTAGCACCGGCATCATGGAGTCACGCTTTCCGACTCATGAACTCGCTCTGCCCTTTTCCATAGCTATACAAACCCTGCGTTAATATTCATTCCTTAACCATGTATTCCCGTTTTGCCCCTTGTTTCCCTCTTTATTTCTCAATCTCTGCCACCGAACCAAAACTCCTAATTGGAGCCAACCACACTTCAGCTCGATTCTGTTCCCGATAGGGGAAAAGAAAAGTTCATCCAAGCTCCAATTTTTATTTCTTTATTTTTGCAAATTTACCATTTTTTTTAATTTTTTTCTGTGAAGGAAAAGAGAAAGTACACAGTCGTTACAATAGAAAGTGCCACAAGCAAGCCTGGCGCTTTCCGGAACCTTCTGATACGGTTTCTTCTCTTTGGCGTTTTCATCATCGGCGCTCGTTTCGCTTACGTCATTGCCATAGCCAGCGAATCCTGTAACATCGGGGACTTCTGCTTCTTCTCCCTGCCAAAGTCTCTCAGCCTCGTCATCGCCAGCTCCGGTCCCCTCGCCGTCGAGTCTGTTTCCGGCGGTGGTTCTTCGCAGCCGGAGCTTTACACCAGCAAGGACTGGATCAACGGCGTTCGTTTCTACTCGTCGGTGTTCCTGGACCTGATTACCGAAGGTTACATCTCGCCGGAGTCGAACTCTCTATGCGTGGAGACGCCGACTGGACGCGACGTCTTCGCGCTGAGGGAGATCGGCGTTCGAGATGCCATCGGAATCTCGAGGAAAGAGGCGAAGCCGCTGGTGAACCACGGAAGGAAAGGAGTTGGGGTGGAGTGATAATGGAAAGGAAGAAGAGGGGTAGGTATAGAAAATAGGACTTCTGTAAATATAAAAAAAAATATAATTAAGAATTTATTTATAAATATTAAATTAAATAATAAAAAATTTTAAAAAATAATGTGGCATTTAACTTTGAGGTGATAGAGATTAAATTTTAATTTTTTATATATAAAGATTTATCATAAAATAATTAATATTTATAAGAATTAAAAATATAATTAAGTTTTTTAAATTATTTTATAATTTTATATTATTTCATAAATATTTATTTGTTCTTTGTTGATGACATGTTTTTATTTATCAAAGCATTATCATCTCAAGTATGCTTTATGACCTCTTTACTTGTAAAATTCACTAAGACTTATGGATTCTTTCAAAGAATAGCAGCTAGAGAAGAGATAGATCTTAAGTAAGTTAAAGGCTATTTAAAGAATTTCTATTTCACTAACTATGTTTATGCATTCACCAAAAGAACTTGTCGCGACGAGTAGACATGAAGTAAACTAATAGCCCTCAAGAAAAAAATCATTGTCTTCATCACCAACTACTCATACTCCCATACTAATAACACCAGTCAGGAAGGTAAGGCAGGTTCTATAGCTACTAATTCTAGCACACCAGAAATCGTCACAGTAAGAGTGGTTAGACTTACACCAGTTAATTGAACACTTTACCATTCTCAATGCAGCAGGAATGCTCACTTACGCCAACGAATACTATCACAGCTAATTGAAGTACTAGTTTTTCAACCTTGGTAAATTTAAGGCTCTTGCTTTCAAAGGTGTGCTTTCTTAGTGTAAACAGAAAGTTTCAGTAATTACCAAGATTAGGTTTACTAACAATATTAGTAAGTATCTTGACTTTTATATGGTTCATGGGAGGGTACTATACAGGGATTTTGAGCATCTTTTTGACAGAGTGAATAAGTGCTTAGTCTCTTGGAAAGGAAGACTTTTAAGTAAAGGGTTTCGTTGGCCAATTCGGTCATGGCATCCATATCAGCATATACCATGCAATTGAGTTGGCTTCCTCAAGTCGAGTGTAATTCTTTAGATCATTTATCTCGAGAGTTTATTTGGCATGGTGGAGGAGCTAGGAAGTTACATCTTGTAAAGTGAGACATTCTTGTTCAACCCCGTATGAATGGTGGCCTTGACATTAGAGCTGTACATCTCCAAAATATTTCACTCCTTAGTAAACTAATATGAGATCTTTTTCATTACCAAGAGAAACTTTGGGTTCAATTGGTCTATTAGAAATATCAGTAACCTACTGTTGCTCTAATGCTTGATGTGCAAGGATCTTTTTTCTAGAAGTTCCTTAGGAAGGCGTTCTTGGAATTAAAGGAGAGTTTTCGTCTAAAATTAGGCAATGGTCAAGCTAGCTTTTGGTATGATATTTGGTTTCAGGGTGCGTCTCTGTGCATGCAGATTCCATATGTACACATTCATGATGTAGATCTTCATATATGCAACCTTGTTTAAGGGGATCGTCTTCAACAATTATATACCCCTATTCCTGAGGACTTACATGCAACCTTGGAGCATCTACTAGTTGTACTTCATTATGCTATATACGATATGATGATTTGGGATAGTAATTTTTTTGGGCACTATACTATCGAGGATGCTTATTTGTGGCTGCTGCACCAAAAATTTGGGACTCCAAATAATTCATAGGGCTGGTTGTGGAGATTACAAGTTTTGGAAAATCTTAGCCTTTTCACTTGACAACTTGTGCATGAAGCTCTTCTTACACATCATTTCCTGGTTTCACGTCATTGTGGGACTTCCTTGTTGTGCCCATGTTGCTCTAATGCTGTTGAATACCTATATCACTTGTTCTTTGAATACTCTATTTCAGTGCAGGTGTGATAGAGGTTTGGGGTTGAAGTGTAGTCCTGCGCTCAGGATACCTTGGTGTGGAAAGATTGGATCTCCTCTTAGGTTCATCATGGCAGTCCATTGTGATTATCATTCTTTGGAAATTGTGGTTGTTTCGGAACTCTGTTGTCTTCGCTAGTCTCCCATCCCTCTATTTAGGTTTGTTTTGAAGATTTAGCATCTAGTTTATAATATTGGGCGTGTTTATCAACGGGGAAGGCTCCTGCTTCTCATGTTACTAGGTGGGTTTCTTGTATTCATGTGGCTGATTTTCAAGTAGCTCTTCATGTGGATGGTAGAGCACGTGAGTGTCTTAGAGCTATTAGATTTGGGGCAAGTTATAAAGATATTGTTGGCTTCTATAAAGATATTGGTGTGACATATAATCTTTATGCAAAGCTGCAAGCTATTTTGCATGGTTTACAGGTGGCTTGGAGCAAAGGTTTCTAGAACATTTTATGTATTTCGAATTCACATTATGCTTTAGAGCTTATTAAGAGTAGTTTGGACTCTTGTCACAAATATGCAGTAGTGATTACTTCTATTTAGAAATATCTTTGTCAATCTTAGCTAGTACATTTAAGTCACTCCTTATAAAAGAGAAATCAATGTACAAATTGTTTTGGTTCTTGTTCCTGTCTTACATTACCAAAAAAAAATAAATTATTGAATGTTTGTAATGATACTTATAAATTTTTAAAAATATTAAATTTTTTTTAGTTAAAAATTATAATTTTTTAATATCTTAAAAATTAAAAATATTTATTTTATAAAATAAATCATTAATCTATTATCTATTAATAAAAAATTAATAATTATAATTATTTCAATTGCCTGAGACCAAAATATCCCTCTTATTGTACAGTTAAATTTACCAACCTAACGAGTACGCACTTATGCGAGTAGACACGTAGTATCAAAGCGGGTAAGAGCGGATTTTTACCTGCCCCTATATCCCTCACCACCATGACGCAGACGCATTGGCTTTTTTTTTTTATTATTTAAAATAATGTCTCATCCACAAAAGTCCTTTTTTTTTTTTTTTCAAATTATGAGTATAGTTTTTATTTAAATACTTATCAGGTAAGCTACACGTGTTAAATACGCAAAAATTGAATGAATCAGCCTCAATATATAATAAATAAATATTTTAAACACTTAATGAAACTACTATTTTTAAAATTCATCATACGCAGTTTTTAAAATTAAAACATGTAAATTATTCTCTTCTTTACTACAATACCTATACTTTTATCAACTTTTCGCAAATTTTATTTTAAAATTTAAAAATAAATAATATTTCATAATTTTCTCTTATTATTTTATATAAACTTTAAAGTTTTTTATAAATTTTAATATTTATTATAATTTTTTATATCTTATACATACTTTTAAATTTTTTTCAAATATTATTTATATAAAATTAATAATACTTAACATATTTTTTTGTTATTTAAAAATTATAATTTTTTTAAATTCGCATAAAATAATTTTATTATATATTATTTATTAAAAAAATAGATGTAAAATGAGCTGATTAGTAACTAGTTTTGTTATATTTTTAAGTATATAGCACTTAAATTTACCCAAATTGTTATTTATTGCAGAATAATGAATATCTTGTCGAAGAAGAATGTGGTTCATATATCTTTTGCAAACCTTGGACCATTCGATTCCACTCCCTATAGTACCTCGTACAAATCATTAAATTATTACAGTCTATGGAGAAACATAGAATCAAGTCAATTATGCTAACATTTGATATTAATTCAAATAAATTTTCCTAGTCCACAAACGATACAATGAAGATCAAATCCCCGAAAAAACAGGTACTCAACTTCAACTCGTTACATACATAGATTGGATGACGCAACATTCTGTTGTGTAGTATCGGCAGCAGCTGGTCTCTGCATGCCAAGTAGAAAAATATATTAACAGACGCCCACCAAAATACTAATAACAGTAGCAAAAAGCTTATCTAAATCGGGAATTGATCCGAAAGAGCAAAAAACTAGAAAAACCATGATGGCATCACTCACATTGCTATCAGGACCCAATCTTTGTCAACTTGTTGAACATATTTCCATAAAATTTCGCCTCCTTTCTATTATACTCCTTTACCTTTTCCTTCAGTGTCTTGTACTCCAGTTTGACATCCCTGGTTCAAGCATCAAGAATAATTTCAGAGCAAGGAAGAATCGAAAATAAACTCCCCTAAATCAAAGCAACTGATCTCAGTGCATGTTTGAACCACGCTCGAGCAACTCCCCTAAACAGAAGTTTATTCAGAGCATATACCTATTGTCAGGGTCAATCTCGAGAGCTTTCTTAATGTCAAATTCAGCCAAATCCAAGTCAGCCAACTCCATATATGCTTGGGCCCTTCTATAGAGGGCTTTAACGTTTGTACTCTCAAGTTCCAAAACCTACCAATTCACATAAAAAAATCATTGTTCTTTTATGTAAAAGATTAGTGAGTCGGAAAGGATGGAAGACAGTACAATACCTTGGTACACAATTTCTCTGCATCTTTATAGTCTTTTAACTTCAACTTGCAAGCAGCATTGTTCAGATTGCAGGCAACCTTCAAGGTCCTGGCCTGCTTTTTCTCCTCCTCATTGAAGGAGGAATCATATTCTATGTACTTCACAGCCTGCAGTAAGTTTAGTAACAAAATGTCTCAGAAATGCTTCATCATTGCATAAAGTGTTAACAAATGTAATCTATCCAGCAGTAACTTTTCAGTAACAAAATGTCTCAGAAGGTGCATTAACACGTAGTGAATAAATGAATAGTCTATCTTGGATTACCTTTTCATATCTTTTGGAAGCTCTGGCATATTTACCAGCTTTAAACAACACGTTCCCTTCTTCCTTCTTCTTACTAGCAACTTCAAGTTTCTCTTGAGTGTTGTTCAGATCCCAGGACTCCTTTTCCTGAAAGGAGAAAAAATGATTAAGATTATTAGTGATAAAACTGCCGAAATATATAATCCAGAATATGAAAATGAACAAGTGTCAAATGCAAATGGAAGTGTCAACAAAGCATAACTTTGATTCCAATTCCTAGATAGTTACTCTTACTTCATTGTGTACAAAAAACAGCAATTTTATAGAATTACAAAGCTTCCACCCAATTACACAAAGAAGTTAAAGAAAACCCTCTGAAAACTGCTCTGATCTATCTACAGTCTACACGTGGGCAGAAAAGGTTCTCATACAAGCACAGCACAGAGAGCATGCAATAAATCTTTGTCCAACAGAAATACACTTTAGATATGATTTGTGATGAAAGGATGTGAATAAAATGAAGGTCCAGAAATGAACTTTTGCCAATCAAATTAAAGGTGAAGATGGTTGAATTGGAATATTGGATACAAAAAGCAGGTACAGACTGAAAATAAGTAAATTAGAAATTTGAGGGTAACATGTATATGAGTTATCTTGTTCTCTATCAAATCTAGATCAGCCCTTGTGTATAACTTTTCAGTTAAGGCAGTAAGGTTGATGCTTGTTAATAACAAATTAAGAATTTCTCTTTACCAAAATGAAACATATAAAATTAAAGCACAACAGCAATTCATCACTCTGCTATTAACTTACCTTCTCAAATGAAACTAGCTCAACTTCAAAATACACTGTTGAGTTAGGAGGAATCACAGCCAACTCTTGCTGGGACTCTGACGAACCAAAAGCATACTCAGGCGCAATAGTCAATAGTGCAACCTCATCCTTCTTCATAGTCAATACAGCTCTATCAAGTCCATCAATGACTTGCTCTGGTTCAACATACAATCACTAGTGACTAGACTGAAAAAATATATATAGCAGATGCAGAAGAATGAGGTACAAGCACTGGCAGATTACAAATTACCCTCATCTGTTTTGAATTCAAACAGCTTCTCCTCTTCATCATGGCCCTTTTTCAAAAAGACAGTACCATTATGTAGCTTACCAATTAGTTTCACTGGGAAGAAACAAGACAACAACGGTATTATCAGAAACAATGTACCGATACATATATAAGACGATAGTTATCATTCAAAATAATTAGTAACTACATTTCACAACAGCCCCTTCATTTGGACGTTCATATCCTTCCCCTTCCTTGAGGATCTTCTTGATGACCTTTTTGTCATCAGTAACTTCTGAAACAGTTTTCCATGACACTAACTCAAGAGTAATCTGCAATGTTGCATTTGGTGGAACTGCACCTTCATCACCATGCGCTGGCTTCCCCTTCTCACCAAATCCATCTATGACCCAACAGAAAAATAAAGAACAAAACTACATATTAAAAGATAAAATAAAGAAAGAAAGAAAAGAACGGGAAGGATATTTATCAGTCATAGCATATGACCAAACCATTCTGTAGACAACTCACATTGTGGCTTAACAGTTAAAATCACTTTCTCTCCCTTCTTCATTGTTTTAACAGCCTTTGACAATGCAGGACAATAATGACCTTCATGGATAAAACATATACTTCAGATACCCAGTAAAAATAAGCAATAAATGTCTGCTAACTACATTTACAGGAGCTGACCCTCTCTGACAGTGAACTCCACTCCATCAGACTTTGCTACAAGCTTCCCATCTTCCAAACAAGCTTCATACCTAACTGCATTACCCACAAGTCCGATAAATAGTTAAAAGTTAAGGCTAAGCTAATTTATGCAGGCATCAAATCAACTGTGAATTAAATAAGAAATATATATACCCAATACTTCATCAGGATCCTTGGGGTTCTCCCACTTCTCCCCCTCAGTAATTATCTTTTTAAATATACCGCCATCCTTGCATATGTCCTTCACACTAGTCCATGACAGCAGCTCAACATCAAATTGCAGTGTTGCATTAGGAGGAATTGTTGGAGGGGAACCAGATTCACCATAAGCTAGATCAGGAGGTATGGTGAAAATAGCATTTTCACCTTTCTTCATGGTTTTAATACCTTCATCCCATCCTTTAATTACTTGCCCTGCACATCAAACCAACCTTTCATTTAGAATTCTATCTGATATATCTGAAGATTACTTATACTCCATTTTCCCTTCATCTAGTTAAGCATACAATTTTTTATAATCATTGGCATGAATACCAAACATGGGAACTTCAATTGAGGTTGCAACATTAGTGGCTAATTTACCCAAACAAAACAAATAAAGGAATTGTGAGACACACCACAAAGGTGCCTGCTAAATAGTAAATACTAATCAATACATGAAAAACTAAACATCATATGTTTTTCCTTACTTACCACTCCAACAAGGCAAATTCCCTACTTTAATTTTTATCGTATACTTGTCAGCATAAATATTAGCATAAAAGTATAATTCAGAAAAATGCTAGCGTAAAATGCACTTTGGGTTTCTAAGTTCTGACAGAATGATTGCAAACCATATACAATACATATTTCCATAACAGCACAAGTATAATAGCAAAATTAGCATTTAAAGAATCATAAGATTCTGAATCACATTACTTGTCAAAATCTCGAGCATAAGCAAATAACCAAGAGCCTACTTCCTTTGGAAAAAAAAAAAAAATTCCATTTCCTTTCCTATATAAACATTTGAAACAAGAAAAAATAAATGCCAACATGTTTGGCAATTCTTCAATATAATTGATTTTGCCTCTAAACTTATGTTTGAGTTAACATGATAAACTATAACTTTTGCTTTGAGTTGAAAAATATATACTGAGTTCTGTTAAAAACTTACTATACGTAAAAAGTTTCCAAACATAAATTACATCATTTTAAACTCAATTTAAAATATAATCAATTCTACAAAATCAAGTTTGTTCATTCAAACTCAAATTTGCAAAAGCTCATCCAAATGCAAACAGCTCAACCTAAACAAGCCTAGTCCAAGATAACGCATTCGTTTTATTCAATATATTAGCACTTTAATAAGTAATACAAAGTAAACGATTGCTTAAGAGCAGTAAAATAGTGCAAACCACCAATACACTCAAATTCCACTATCACTTTCCAAAATGTATAGCAACAAATCCATCAAAAACACGCGAGCAATTCACCGAAACGCTTCCCGTTATTTCACAAACTTTTCACACAACTCAGTTCACATAACTTAAGAAAAATGAAATAAAAATAAGGAAAACGAAATCGCAATTCGCAAACCTTGTCCGAGCGTAAAGCTGAATGGAGAATCCCTATCGCGGCTCGAATCAAACTTAGTCCCATCGAGCAAAGTCCCAGTGTAGTGAACTACAAATTAAAACAAAGAAGTTAAAAAAGAAAAAAATAGAAAGCTAAAAACGACAGAGAAATTGTTGTCGTTCCGATAGTACCTTGGACTTCGTCGCCAACTTCAGGGGTTTCGAAACCTTGACCTTCCTTGACGAGCTTCTTCTTGAGGCCGCTATTGCCGATCTCTCTCTCCTCGCCGACCTTATCTTCGCCAAGATCCATTTCCTCGCCGGCGGGAATATCGAAGTCTTCCATCGCCTTCACTACTCTTCTATACCACAGTGAAATGCTAGACCCCCAAAGAATGAGGGGCTTTTAGGTTTTAGTCCTACTGTGAGAAAGGGTCTAGAGAGTTCTATAGAATGGGAAATACTTCCTCACTCAAGTGTAAGAAAGGTACATGTTTCGGTACGATCAGATAAACGGTCAGGATTCGTAGACGGGGAATTCCTTATTCCTTGTCCAAAAATAAAGCCTTTTTTATTTCATTATTATATTTTAAAAATAAATTATTAAATTATAACATTTTAAAAAAAAAATTTCTTTTTTTGAGGTACAACAAGACAAAATGCCTAGTCAAAACAAAACTAGCAAACAGATCAACAAGACTAACTCTTTGTCAATTCCTGTTTTGATAAATTTTATGAAAAATTTGTAGGTTTCATCTTGTTTTGTAGACTTTAAATAATTTTTCTTCTTAACTCTTTTTTTGACAAGTTTTAGAGAAAATCTATGAGCTCTAAAATGTCTCGACAAATTTTAGATGTTGTCAATCTATGACTCAAAAATCCTCAAAACTCTTAGAAATGAAACTCTTTTCAACAAAAAATGAAGTTCTTCTTCGACCCCTTAAAACTCTTTGAAATAAAGTTATCCTTTCGACAAAGAATAAGACTCTCCAAAACTCCTCAAAATATAGCTTTTTTTTCAACAAAATGATACTCTTTTGTCAGTCTTCATAGAAACGTGACGAAAAATAGTTCTTTTAACAAGTTTTTTAGACATAAATTTTTTCAGTTTCATGACTCGTCAGGATGTAGGAACCTAGGATTCTCTTTAATTTTAGGTAAAAGATGTGTCTATGTTAGTGATCTTCGAGGTGTGTTTCTCCTCAAAAAGACATAGTCTATTTCCTATTACAAAAGTCTAATAAAGGCTTTTGTAACTTAAGAAAATTTTTCCTTTTCCAAGCAAATGGGATGAACCACTACTACAATAGAAACTAACACAAATATTTATAGATAAAAAAGAGGTTTGTCATGGTTCAAAAAGAAAAGAATCACGTGGTAGAAGGTTTGCTAATTACAATAGTGGTAAAGAGATATCTCTGCAACTATGACCTTATCATTGATGAAGCTTAATCTTCTTAACACCATCCTCAATGTGACTTTGGCTTGAATAAGGATATCTATCGACTATAGCTTATGACATACAACTACTTCTCAGGCAATATTTTCACTAGGTGATCAATGGTTCATACTAATCATCTCATAGGGTATGACATAACAAGATAAAACTTTGACATTTACATCTATTCATGCGTAAGAGTTCAAACCTTTTATAGGACATGAAGGTGCAACAGAGGCTACATAAGCTAAAAGTGGAAATGATGAAGGTGGGGGAGAAGGTTAAAGGCGCATATTAAATCTTTTTACTCATTCCTTTGATAGAATTAGCTCATCATTGATCAAGAAGAAAAAGCAGAAAAAAGAATAGTCATCTTATTATAGTTTTAATTACATTATGTATTTATGTTGTAATTTGTTGGAATATTCATGCTCATGAATTGCCAATTTTTTTGCTACTCGTGAATTTTCATTTTATATATTTGTGTTTAACACACGTTGATTATTATTTCTAACACATGTTGATGTTTCTGGATGTTATTAAAAACTATTCCAAGTTCATGATGTTTTAGTTTAGAAATAAAAAAAATACTAAATTTAATTATTCTATTACTAAAATAAATAATTAATAAATTTATTAAACTACATTATCTAATAAATTTACCAAACTAAATTAATTTGCTAAAACAACAAAATTAAAGTTTTAATTTATCAAATAGAACACAATAATACTAAATTAAAAAAAAAACTTAAACAAACATTATTTTATTAAAACTACTCATAGATAGAACAAAAATTAACATAATATTTACAAAAAAATATATCATCATTACTCAACTCTTGTAAACTAGTTCTAAGATGGACGTTACCTTCAATTATAACTCTTATCTTGTAAAAAATTGCACTGTCGTCGTTTTCTCATTTCTCCCCCTATTTATTTCATTAAGAAAACAACTTGATTTCATATGACCGTTTATTGTGTGCTTTAAAGCCGATTAGGACAAATTTTTAGGACTCTATATTGTTGTGATGTGGTTTCATTCATGATCACCCCCAAACTTATTCTTGTAAACTTTGCATAATTTATTGATCTTATAAACATCATCAACATAAGCATGTCAATCAATGTTCCGACTAAAGCAAGTATCAATCATGTGAAACATAAATATCTTTAAGTTTAGATGTCATTATAGTCACAAAATCGTTGTCTCAAATGAACTCGACATTCTTGACTATTGGATATATCTTAAACACGGAAAGCCTCATTTCATCTCTCAAATTGACTAACATGAAGGTTTTTGCATGTTGACTCATTTAATTGAACTCAAGTCGTCATAACTTTGGTCTAGTTTTTTTTTGTGCATATGTCTCACTCTCTTTATATGTAAATAACTCAAATGGAAGTAAGTTGCTCTAACTAGTACCATGATTAGAAGATTGTGAGCACCCTTTAATACTAAGTTGATGCACTCAACCCTATTTGTTGTCATGTGACCCTATATCTACCATTATATGCTAAAACTCACTTCTCTCATAGAATTTTATTAAGCTAATTTGTATAGACATTTTCACATTTTCAATATCGTTCATAATGGATATTAAATTTGACCTTTTCACGTTCTCACAATCACTTATAATAGATATTAAATTCATACTTAGTTTTTGAATAGTCTACAAAACACAAGAACATTGATATAAATACATTTAAAATAATACAACATTTGCATATTTCTTCATTGAATTTATATAAAGAATGTCAATTACCTATGCTGATGACAAGTTAATGCAAGTAAAGAGCCTAAAATTTTTGCAAGAAATTTGTTGCAATGTGCTTAATACAATACATATGGAATGCTTTTGGAGGTTCCTACTAACCAATGTTTCATCTTATTACTGCATAAATAAATTCGTGCCGATTAGAAATAATGCCAACATCATCTTAAGTCACCACATGCTTGTGCAAATTTTTAAGAAAAATGTGTCAAGCATTCGATGTCTCACCATCAACAACCACAAAAGCAATTGACAATTTATTGTGATTGTTGTCTTATGCAACTATTACTAATAAAACTTTCTTGTATTTGACATATAAATGTCTCATTAATTTCACAAGTGGTTTGTAGTGTCTGAGTGCTCTGATATATAGACCAAACCTACAAAACACTTGACATAATATTTCAACATCAGGAACCAACACATTATTATGGTACGCTTCTGTAACATCCAACTAAACAATTGTATCTCGAACAACGTCACACATTGCAACACACCATTTCAGGCCTTATACTTTTTCAATATCTTTTTGCTTTGTCATTCATACTTTTTGATAGTTATGGTGTATTGATATCGTGATTAAATCTCACCAATCACTAGTTTTATCTTAAAAGAAAGGCCAAATTATACCATTGGCTTTATATATTTTGTAATTGTGTTTGTATCTAACTTTATGTGATTTTATGAAATTCTTGCCCTAGTACAACTATATGGCCTAGTATAATTTCTAAAGATTTTTCAAAAATACTTGTTTTTCCTAAAGGTAGCTCAAAAAAAACATCCACTGTCTATGTCATAGTTAACACATTTACGATAAAATGTATTTCATTATGACTCATACACTTTGTAGTTTGCTTTTCTAGCTATACTATAATGTTTAATTGTTTACATAATTATTTCTCTATCATTGAATTACATTCTAACATACAATTCTCCATATACATCAAAATTACTTATAAAAAATAAATGTAAACATAAATTGATTAAAACAATTGTTATTAAGTTTACCAATTAACAACATTATAAAACTTACATACTCATGTTTGCATACTATGAAAACTTAAATGCATGTATAACATTAAGATTTAAAGCACGCATGAACAATGACTTCCTAAATGCCTATTGTCTAATCATTGTGTTTGATAAATGAAGGTCCTAATCATTTGTATCATCATCTAAATCTCCATTTTCACCATCCTTGTTACTTCCATTTTCCCTTTCAAAGTCCTCGTCATCACTTTCTGTATGTTATGTTTCTAATTTACACAAATGTTAGCTTATCACACAGAAATGTCATTCTTTTACTCATTTTTATAATAATTTGACCAATAAAGTATATTAAAACTTTTGTAGTTATTTTTCCTTTAAGCATAGAATTAAAAAAATTAAAGAAACTGAGTCTTCACTTGCATTTTATTACAAATCAGAGTAAATATAGGGAAGGATCGAGTACGAGCATAATGTTTAAACATTTTGTAAGAAAATGAGCAGAGTAATTTTGCAAAATAAAAAATGATGAATGAAAGAACTTACAAAAATATTGTTCTTCGTATTGAATCTTGTTGAGAGTTTGATACAACAATATTGTAAAGATATTGGAAGAGTACAAGGCTTTAAGATCTAAAGGGTACAAGGCTTAAGATCTAAAGGATATTGAAAGAGTAAGAGGCTAGTAAATTTTGTTGTGTCCTGAAAACGGTGAATGATCTTCTTAATATATAGACTTTGGCTCCTGTTGTGAGATTCCTTCTTACCTCTTGTATTATTCTCTTGTCATATCTTGTTTACCATCTAGGATAATGTAGTCTTGTCATTTTTGCTTTTTCTTTTAGTGTAGTCTTGTCTTTGTTTTGTCATAGTCACTTTTCTTCTAGTGCCGTCTTGTCAAAATCTTGCAGATTTATTCTTCCAGATATTCCAAATCGTCAAAGTTTAACAATTTTCTTGGTAGAGTTTTTAGACATCATTATAATGTAATATTGGTATATTCTTTTTCAGATAAATATTGTGATGTTTTTCATTAAAAGCTAGCTCATAATTATTCACGTCTTGATCCTGATGTCCAATTTGCAATGTTGTCTCTGTCTTTTACTATAAAATGTATCATCCACATCTTAAACATTTTTCTAGACTTTTGTCATAACTAATGGTGTTCTGCTGGTTGAAATAGAGATGTTGTTTGGAATTATTCATATATAATTGAACGGTGAAGTTATCCCAATCAATTCCTATACAGGTGGTATATGTGAGAATAA